ATGTATTATCTATAACTAAACCCCTTTCTATACAAAGTTCAATCAAGGGGCTCCCATTATCATTTACACCTGGCACCCCAAACTTACCTACCACACCCTCTCTAAAAGTTTCTCCTACTTTAGCATTCAGGTCCCCTACCACAATTACTCTCTCACTTGGTTCAAAGGCTCCTATACATTCACTTAACATCTCCCAAAATCTCTCTCTCTCCTCTGCATTCCTCTCTTCTCCAGGTGCATACACGCTTATTATGACCCACTTTTCGCATCCAACCTTTACTTTAATCCACATAATTCTTGCATTTACACATTCATGTTCTCTTTTCTCCTTCCATAACTGATCATTCAACATTACTGCTGCCCCTTCCTTTGCTCTAACTCTCTCAGATACTCCAGATTTTAATCCCATTTATTTCCCCCACTGAAACTCCCCTACCCACTTCAGCTTTGTTTCGCTTAGGGCCAGACATCCAACTTCTTTTCATTCATAACATCAGCAATCATCTGTTTCTTGTCATCTGCACTACATCCACGCACATTCAAGCATCCCAGTTTTATAAAGTTTTTCTTCTTCTCTTTTTTAGTAAATGTCTACAGGAGAAGGGGTTACTAGCCCATTGCTCCCGGCATTTTAGTCGCCTCATACGACACGCATGGCTTACGGAGGAAAGATTCTTTTCCACTTCCCCATGGACAATAGAAGAAATAAAGAAGAACAAGAGCTATGTAGAAAAAGGAGAAAAACCTAGATGTATGTATATATATATATGCATGTGCATGTCTGTGAAGTGTGACCAAAGTGTAAGTTGGAGTAGCAAGATATCCCTGTTATCTAGCGTGTTTCTGAGACAGAAAAAGACACCAGCAATCCTACCTATGCAAAACGTTACAGGTTTCTTTTTCACGTCATCTGGAGGAGGGTAGTATTCCCTGGATGGTTGTGTCTCCAACCAAACCCCTTTCTCCCAAACCTCTACCTAGAGGTGTACCCGAAATTCTTGCAAAATTTTCGGTTTCCCTGTCACCCAAAATTTGTTTCAACAACGCTATCTTTTCGGGACGTTGGTGCTCAAAAACTGTGTGGAGCCCCCAAAACATTAGTAATGAAAACCTTAATGTTGGCGACAAGATGTGTAGACTGGCCTCATGATGATATGTGTCAGCTTAGGTGGTGGGTGTGTGGGCATGTAAGGTGCCTCCCCTTTGAGAGGGGGTAGGGTACTGAGGCAGCGCGGGAGTGGTCTGTGGTTTGTATAAGGCCCAATACCACCTGTGGGCTGGGATAGGGTAGCTGAGGGGGTGAGTGTGAGTGTGTTCACCAATTCAGAGATCTGGGTTTGTTCTGGAACAGGTCTTAAACAGGTGGTCCGTTGTCAAGTTCCTTTTTTTCCCGACACTGGTCCCTATGTCCTTCTTGTAGCGTAATTAAAATGGATCTCGCAGGCATTTGGGGGCATGTCCCCCTTCCGGTGACGCGAGAGCACAGTAGGTGCCGGGGAGGGTGGATATGATTTGTTGCATCAGGGTTTTTCGCGATTTTCCTCAGGTTTGCTGCGGGAAACGTGTTAGTGGGGTGAGAAAACTTTGTGTCTTCCTCTCCACGTCCTTTTCCCACGCCCTCGCCCCCCCTCTACCAGTTCTGAAGATGTGTCCTGCTGTTCGAACTTTGGGCAGTAGGTGTTCAGGTGAAGTGATAGTTCCGATTATTAAACTGCCCCAATTTTTTGGTGGAGAAACTCCTGCTCAAAAACTTGCTGATAAAAGCTGCTGCCAGATTTGGAATGTGTGGCGGTGTGCTGACAGGTGTGGTCAGAGATGGTATGTGCACTGTTGTGGATGGCGGGGGCTGAAGCAGAGATGTAGGTTTTTTGGGAGAATTAACAGACCCAAGGTTTCCTTCTTTGCTGGGAAGAGGTTTTTCCCCTGTGTGGTGGTCAGGGAATTGTTTTAGAATTCTAAAAAGGTAGTGTTTTAAAACTCGTAGTCTGTGGGCTTAGCGATGACAAAATTCCACAGTTTTTACCCTGAGTTAAGCTGTGTGAGATTTCCAGTTTTTGTCAATGTGCCACCATCAGCGAGAGCTTACGTCACTTGATGAGGTTGCAGGGCCTTTACTATGCTTGGAGGTTATCAAATGATTTGAGGGCTCTGAAGTGTTCCGTGATGGATTATCTTTGCTGTGACTTTACAAAACAGCCCCGAGGGCCCGTCGATCTTTGGACGAATCCCTGAGGGAGGGCTTCTGAACCTTCCCCCTGTAGCTCCGGTTGTGTCCAAATTTACCCCGGATTTTGGTTCCCTTTAATTTTTGAAATTTTCAAAACCCGGCTGCAACAAAATTCTTTTTTGGAATGCAATCGTGTGGCAGTAGTTGGGAAAAAGTAGGTTCCTTACATTAAGAAAAAAAATTTTGTCCCCCTTTTGGTATACCCCCAAAATGCAGTAATCTGGGCAATAGCCAGTAGTAGATATTTTGTATTTTGCGATTGAAGTCATCCCAGAGGAGGTTTTAGGTTTTTCAATTAAGTTCCCAGGAGAGAGAGGGTGGGTGGTGGTATGTGGGGGGGGTGGAGTATCGTGGGTGGGGGGGTTGTTTATAGGGGGTGGGGTGAGGGCAGGGAGGGCCGACGAGCTGGAAATGTTGCCTTTCCACTATGATTAATAAACATGTTTAGCTATCCACTTTTCCACTATGGAAGATGTTACACAAAACAAAGTTGATTGTACCAGTCACGTTGTTATAAAGACCCCGATGCTGTACATCGCCAAAACACAATAATTTTAGATGCCACTGTGAAGGGAATAGTGAGTCACTCTAGGCCTGCCGCTGTCCCCCCCTCACCCTATCTTCACCAACCACACTTAAATATCCCCGATATTACTTTATTCCTTCAGGGAGGAGTTGGCTTCTTTTACTAAGTGTTGTAGGTAGGACTTCGTCATGAACAGTTTTTATCCCCACCAAACCCCCGTATTTTAAATTATATTAGAAAGTTTGTGGAGCACACTGTGAACGTTTATCCCCTCTTTTCTTTTTCTTTCTTTCTTTTCTTTTTTCTTTCTTTTCTTTTCTTTCTTTCTCTTTTTTTCTTTCCCTTTTTTCTTTTTTTTTCTTTTTCTTTCTTTCTCTTTCTTTCTTTCTCTCTCTTTTTTTCTCTTTCTTTCTTTCTTTTTTTTTTTTCACAGGGTTTTTTACAAGGTTAAGGTCCCTGCTTTTTTTGACAAGTATTTACAGGTTTAAGGATTTTCCCAAAATTTTTGGCAAGCTGAGCTTTTACCCCTCAGTCATTTGAAAGCATTTTATTGTTGAGACATACAAGTAGGGAAAAAGGATGAAGTTGGAGCCATTGTGGGCCGCATTTTTATTTGATCAAGATTTTTCTCGTTCACATCATTAGCTGTACGAAAGTGTTCCATACTCGAGTCATCCTGGGGGATATAGGTCTCAGATGGAATGATGTTTGGAGAAGGGTACAGCAGAGTGAAATTGGCTTTCTGTTTCACGCTGTCCCCGAAGTGGATCTCTTCTTTTTTTCTCTCTCTTTCTTTTTCTCTCTCTTTCTTTTTCTCTCTCTTTCTTTTTCTCTCTCTTTCTTTTTTTTCTCTCTCTCTCTCTCTCTTTTTCTCTCTCTCTCTCTCTTTCTTTTTCTCTCTCTCTCTCTTTCTTTTTCTCTCTCTCTCTCTCTCTCTCTTTCTTTTTTCTCTCTCTTTTCTCTCTCTCTCTCTCTCTTTCTTTTTCTCTCTCTCTTCCTCTCTCTCTTTCTTTCTCTCTCTCTCTCTCTCTCTCTCTCTTTTTCTCTCTCTTTTTTTCTCTCTCTCTCTCTCTTTTTCTCTCTCTTTTTTTCTCTCTCTTCTCTCTCTTTTTCTCCCCCTCTTTTTCTCTCTCTCTCTCTCTCTTTTCCTCTCTCTCTCTTTTTCCTCTTTTCTCTCTTTTTCTCTCTCTCTCTTTTTTTCTCTCTCTCTCTTTTTCTCTCTCTTTTTTCTCTCTCTTTTTCTCTCTTTTTCTCTCTCTTTTCTCTTTTTTTTTCCTCTCTTTTTTCTCTTCTCTCTTCTCCTCTCTCTCTCTTCTCTCTTTCTCTCTCTCTCTCTCTCTCTCTCTCTCTCTCTCTCTCTCTCTCTCTCTCTCTCTCTCTCTCTCTCTCTCTCTGCTCAGCTTATTGCAAGCTCAGCACACTCCAACCCACACAATATTCTCAACACTCCTTCCCCACACCATTTGCTCAGACATTTACACTTTCACTGTTATCAATAAGAAGGTGAATAGCATATGTAAAGTGTATTGTATCAGATAAGATGGAAAAACAAAAATGGGAGGAGGGAATGTGAAAGAGGGAGGAAGATAAAGAAACAGGAGAGAGAGAGAGAGAGAGAGAGAGAATACAAGAGAGGGAGAGAAAGAGGAAGAGGAATTCATCTGAGCACTTTACAACTGTTCTTCAGTTCACTGTTAAAAAACAAATCAAATAAGACAGACAAGAGTATGGCTAACAAAAATTTTTCAGAAAGATACTAACATCATAAGTGAAGGGGGGAATATTGTACATGAGAGGAAGATATCCATTATAATTATTATTATATTCATGGAAAAAAAAAACACTAGGCACTGAAAAAAACTAGGGAATAATGAGGTTTGATCCAAGGGAAGGAAGAGCAGCTCAAATTCCTTGAATCATTGGCATTAAAGCACCATATTGACGGAATACCTATGTTGTGTGTAAAGAAAGATCTTTATGTGATGAAATAGAGAATGGTGACAGCTATTCAAAAGAAAACAAAGGATAAGTCTTTGTCTTCCATACGGAGCATAAAATAATATTTTCTTTAAAAGTTTACATGTCTAGGTTTACAAGTCTTCCACATAAGTGTTAAGTTACATTCTGGGACATGCTAAAATGTGAAAGACAGGTACTCTGTGAAGGAATAAATTTTTCAATAAAAATAATGAAAGGTTTGAATGGAAAACTTTTGTACTCAAAAATTACAAAAAATTTATTTCTCACCTGGCAAGGCCAATGAAGCCTTGAATCGATGACACATATTTTGGTATTCACAGTTCTTCACAACACTGCTGTCTGGTAAAGCTCTTACAACACCCTTAAGGGAGCAAACAAAACATCTTAATATCTCTACATACAGAAAATTTTTAATAGATTGTCATGTAAAGTTCTTTCAAGTCATTAAAGGATATATACTGTACTCTCAATTTTCAGGGCTAAGAGAAACCCTGTCAAAAAGTTTATAGAGAATTTTCATTTAACGCTTTGACTGTCGCAACCCCAAATTCTAGTGTCTCTCCGTGTCGCAAAATATTCAAAAAAAAAAAAAAAAATTATGAAATGAAAGAGAATCTTTTCCCAATGGTAATGACACCAAAAGTATTAAATTTGATGGAAAACTTACGGAATTATGCTCTCACGAAGGTAGCGATCTCAGTGATACATACACATCAGCAATTTCGCCCTTGAGCCATATTTTCGGCCAATTCCACTGTTCCAGTTGACCAAACTCATAGCTATTTCTGTAGAACTCCATTTGTTCTATCAACTGAGTATAAGAAACCACCCATTTACCGATTTCAACTACCCAATAAAGTGGTCAGAAATTGACAATTTGGCCAATTTCACGCAAATTAAAAAAGATGCCACTTTCAAACTAGGGTCCACAATAAATAATGCAGACATCCCTGGCACTTTAAAATAACATTTTCTCTGTTCATTAGTCACATCTCCAGGCCCCTCTAATATTATTCTTGCTTTCTATTTTGAATTTTTACTCACACAAAAAATAGAAGATTTACTGTTATGTAGACTACTGCATTACTGTAATAATTATATAAATAATGTCAACCCATTCGTGACTGCATATTAGAATGGCTAGTTAGATGCTTACTGGATGGTGACGTCATTTGTTTACTCTTGAACATTGGCAAAAATCAAACATTTCCACTTCTTTGAGTTCAATTTCGAAGTCCTTGTCATCATGAAGCCAATTAAAATGATCTCTAATTCTGTAATAAGTCTTCCGGTCTATCAAATGAGACCAAGAAAACAAAAATACGATCATAAATACTACAGTGGACCCTCGATAATCATAAGGCTCGAAAGTCGTAATTTTCAGAAACAGTAACTTTTTTCCGTCAAAACATTGACTCACAAATCGTCGTTTGACTCGCAAATAGTTGTTCATCTCGGACGCATACTCACGGCCATGAGCCACCTCGCACTCCCTTCCCAGCCAGTGTGGCATTGTTTACCAGTGAGTGACGGTCCCCTCACTTCTTCATACAAAATATTTCATAATATGCCATTCATTTTAGTGCATGCAGCTGCTAAATAAGCTACCATGGCTCCAAAGAAAGCTCCTAGTGACATGCCTTTGGTAAAGAAGGCAAGAAATACAACTGAATTCAAGAAAAACATCATTGAACAACATGAAAGTGGCATACGTGTGGCTGAATTGGCCAGGATGTATAAGAAACCTCATACAACCATAGCTTCCATCATGACCAAGAAAAAGAAAATCAAGGAAGCTGTTGTTGCAAAGGGGGTAAATATGCTGACAAAAATGAGATTTTTTTGCCAGTACTCGAAGATGCTGAGAAGTTATTGTTGGTGTGGATCAACGAGAAACAATTAGCAGGAGATAGTCTTATGCAATCACTTATTTATGAAAAGGCTAGGCAGTTGCATGATGATCTCAGAGAAATTGCCTGCAACGAGTACTGATATTTGTAAATTTAAGGCCAGCAAAGGCTGGTTTGAGAGATTTAAGAACCGTAGTGGCATACACAGCTTGATAAGGCATGTCGAGGCTGCCAGTTCAGACAAAATTGCAGCTACAAAATTCCTAAGTGAATTCAAGGAGTACATACAGACTGAACAATTAAAACCACAACAAGTGTTCAATTGTGACGAAACAGGCCTCTTTTGGAAGAAAATGCCTAAAAGACTTAAATTACTCAGGAGGAAAAGGGACTGCCAAGACACAAGCCTATGAGAGACAGTTACTGGGTACCATCTGAAAACCCGTTACTAGTGTACCTTTAAAAATTCCGAGTTTTCAAGAAAAACAATGTTATGAAGATAAATTTGTGTGGTCTTGGAGAGTAATGTAAGGCAGTGTCACAGGGAAATTTTCGCGATGGTTCAAGAATTTTTTGGCCCGTGGAAAATTACCCCCTAGAAAGAAATTGGATTCAAGTGTCTCCTTAATGGAAAATGCACCTGCTCATCCTCAAAACTGGGTGACCAATTCTGGGGAGTATGGGTTCATCCAGTAAAGTTCTTGCCCCTTATCCCCCTCCTCTCCTCTAGCGCTTTACCCAGATCATTCAAATTTTAAAAAAGCTCTACCCCAAAAGCACTGTTTCAAAGGTGCTTTAAGTGCCCTCAGACCTCCTTGACCCAAGAGAGTTTGGAAAGATCACTTCATACCTCCTTTTGCTAAGCCTTTAAGGTAGGCTTGGGAGGGAGTGACTCCCCGGGACTTTCAACCGTTGGGAAAAAAAACTGTGGCCAGATTTTTCCCCACAAGAGGGGCGCCCTGACGAGCCTAGGGAAAAGTTTGGAATCTATGTGGCTTTGGGGGATTTTCCATGGGGTTGGATGATTTGGAGGATGTGGATGAGTTGGTGGAACCACAAGAAGAGTTAACCACTGGGGGAGTGCAAGAGCTTCCCCGGGAACAGCAATAGACCGCAGTCAAAATTTTTGCGAGAAGAGGAAAAAGAGAGCTGGAAAGAAGTTGCCTTCTTCAAAAAATTTAAAGGGGAATTTTTGAAGTGGGGGGGATAAAAAGTTTAAATGGAAAAATCACCTTGACAAGGCTGTTTTCAAAACAATTTTGGCAATTGTACGTGACCAAAGTCTTAGACCCTTTTAGGTAAGTTTTTTAAAAAGCAAACCAGAAACAGAGCTCTTGGGCCCTTTTTTTGCGAGACAGGGCCCAGTGATCTCAAGCTGGTTCTAGTGGCATTAAGAAACAGGAAAAAAAGTAACCCCCCGAAAAGGACTTGGTACCGAGGGGTTGATGGAAAGGGATTTTCCCCCTTCCCAAAAAGTAAATAACCAATCTCTCCCCCCCTCCAGTCTTTTCCTACACTAAAAAAATTGAAAATAAAGTTTAAGTCTTATGCGTTAATGTTTCATTTTTCATGTCCCATTTTTATGTGTATGTACTACATCTATAATCTGAAAAAAAAATTTTTTTTTTAATCTTCTGGGGGCGGGAACGAAATTTAATTTTTTTTTTTTTTTTAAAAATTGGCCGTCCCCCACCGAGGCAGGGTGGGCCCAAAAAAAAAGAAAATCCCCAAAAAAAAAATATTTCATCATCATTCAAAACTTTTACCCCGCTCACACATATCAGTTTTTTTCAGAGTGTCAGAACACAACAGTTTAGAAGCATATACGTAAAAAGATACAAAACATATCCCTCCAAACTGCTAATATCCCGAACCCCTCCTTTAGATTGCAGGCATTGTACTTCCTATTTCCAGGACTCAAGTCCGGCTATAAAAAATAACCAGTTTCCCTGAATCCCATCACTAAATATTACCCTGCTCACACTCCAACAGATCATCAGGTCCCAAATACCATTAGTCTCCATTTACTACTATCGAACACACTCATGCACGCCTGCTGGAAGTTCAAGCCCCTCACCCACAAAACCTCCCTTACCCCTTCCTTCCAACCTTTGCTAGGACGACCCCTACCCCACCTTCCTTCCCCTACAGATTTATACGCTCTCCATGTCATTCTACTTTGATCCATTCTCTCTAAATGACGAAACCACCTCAACAACCCCTCTTCAGCCCTCTAACTAATACTTTTTTAACTCCACACCTTCTCCTAATTTCCACACTCTGAATTTTCTGCATAATATTTACACCACACATTGCCTTCTAGACAGGACATCTCCACTGCCTCCAACTGCCTCCTCACCGATGTATTCACTACCCAAACTTCACACCCATATAAGAGAGTTGGTAATACTATACATTCATACATTCCCTTCTTTGCCTCCATAGATAATGTTTTTTGTCTCCACACATACCTCAAAGCACCACTCACCTTTTTTCCCTCATCAATTCTATGATTAACCTCATCCTTCATAAACCCATCCGCCGATACGTCAACTCCCAAGTATCTGAAAACGTTCACTTCTTCCATACTACTCCTCCCCAATTTGATATCCAATTTTTCTTCATCTAAATCATTTGATACCCTCATCACCTTACTCTTTTCTATGTTCACTTTCAACTTTCTACCTTTACACACACTCCCAAACTCATTAACTAACCTTTGCAATTTTTCTTTAGAATCTCCCATAAGCACAGTATCATCAGCAAAAAGTAACTGTGTCAATTCCCATTTTGTATTTGATTCCCCATAATTTAATCCCACCCCACTCCCTAACACCCTACCTTTTACTTCTTTTACAACCCCATCTGTAAATATATTAAACAACCATGGTGACATTACACATCTCTGTCTAAGACCTACTTTTACTTGGAAGTAGTCTCCCTCCCTTTTACACACCCTAACCTGAGCCTCACTATCCTCATAAAAACTCTTTACAGCATTTAGTAACTTACCACCTATTCCATATACTTGCAACATCTGCCACATTGCTCCCCTATCCACTCTACCATATGCCTTTTCTTAATCCATAAATGCAATAAAAACTTCCCTACCTTTATCTAAATACTGTTTACATATATGCTTCAATGTAAACACTTGATCTACACATCCCCTACCCACTCTAAAACCTCCTTGCTCATCTGCAATCCTACATTCTGTCTTACCTCTAATTCTTTCAATTATAACCCTACCGTACACTTTTCCTGGTATACTCAGTAAACTTATTCCTCTATAATTTTTACAATCTCTTTTGTCCTCCTTCTCTTTATATAAAGGGACTATACATGCTCACTGCCAATCCCTAGGTACCTTCCCCTCTTTGATACATTTATTAAACAAAAATACCAACCACTCCAACACTATATCCTCCCCTGCTTTTAACTTTTCTGTCATGATCCTGTCAGTTCCGGCTGCTTTACCCCCTTTCATTCTATGTAATGCCTCACTCACCTCCCCCACACTCACATCCTGTTCTTCTTCACTCCTAAAAGATGGTATACCTCCCTGGCCAGTGCATGAAATTACCGCTTCCCTTTCTTCGTCGATATTTAAAAGTTCCTCAAAATATTCTCGCCATCTACCCAAAACCTCCATCTCCCCATCTACTAA